TGCCTCCCCTAGCTCCCGAGGTAGAACGTGATTAGGTTTGAGTTACCCTTGAACTTATCGAGGGTAGTGTTTTTCTTCGATCTCTTGTTGATTAGCTCGTCGAACTTCCTCTTGACCGACCCTACTGAGAGCTTGTTGGGGCCTCCACTGGATATGACCATCGCGGTTGGAAAGTTCTCCCATGGGATGCTAGAGGACAAGGGTGCGTCCGACTCGCAGGGAAGATAAAAGTCTTATGGTCAGGAGATGCACTGGGCGACCTAGAGCCCGGTGTCACCGGAGAATGGTGTTGACTCATCGACCTTTTTCACCTCGCGGACCTCCTGTCGAGGATCTTCATTCCTCCTGGTATATTGCTTCAGGTGCCCTTCCTTAATTAGGATTTCCATGACATCCTTTAGGTGGATGCAATCTTCTGTGACATGTCCATGACTCATATGGAACTGACAGTACTAGGACTCGTCGATGTTAGGCTTAGGGGTTGTCGGCTTCGGGAAGCGGACACCGCCTCTTTGGAACTTCGAGTTGACACACTCGACCAGAATGCGCTCGTGGGGAGCCATGAGTAACGTGTACTCGGTGAAGTGGCTTGTTGGTTCCCTTTGCTCTCGGGGATCTCGGGGCCGATCTTCTCTTCTTTTCTCCACGTGTTAGGGGGAAGTGAAGTCTTCGTGTCTAGAGCTTTTGGCACTCTCCTGGTTCTGCGAGTCACAAGCACTATTGTCGGCCTCCTTCTCCTCGTATTAGATATAGGCATGGGCTCTGGGAAGTAGTTGGTCCAGTGAGTCGAGCTTTTCGATGCCATCGGCCTTGGCGAAATCACTGTGAGGTTACAATCCTTGCTCGATCAAATATTTCTTCATGTTGTCCGAGGTAGACATTTGGACAACCTCACGATTAAATCTCTCTATGTAGTCTTGGAGAGATTCTTTTTTCCCTTGAATGATAGCTTCTAGGGATGCCTCAGTCTTTGGGTGTCGTTGGAAAGCAATGAAGTTCCTGGATAACTGCCTCTTTAGTTCTTTCCAGGAGGTGATAGATTCGAGCTCGAGGCTCTTACACCATGCCATCACCCTTCCTCCGGGTTGTAAGGAAGAACCTATATTTTATAGATCCCTGGACATTTCGATAGTCGAGCATCTTATCGATGCTTTCAATGTGGTCGTCCAGATCGGTCGTACCATCATAGGTAGTAAGGGTCGGGAGCTTCTCCATCCCGACGAGAAGGAGAGTCTTCATGATAGCCCTGGATAGCGGAGTGCGGGGGTCGTCCTCTCGCTTCTGACGGGTGATTGTGAGGGGGAAAGGTCGTACTGAGGGCTCCTCAAACGACTCTTCAGTTTCCTAGTCTGCCCGTCACCTCTGCTTGTCTTGGGAGCCAGGGAGCGTCGCTCTTTCCCTGGAGGATAGCACTCGCGCTTCTGGGCGGCCATGGATTGAGGGCTTTCTAGTCACAGAAGGTGCCTTGGTAGTCGTGGACAGGGACTCCGAGACTCATCATGTTGCAGCCTCCGTAGGGGAAGGGAAAGACAAGTTTCTCGTCATCGCGGGGACAGGCTTCGAGAAACCGGGCGACAATGTCCCCGTGGGGGAGAGCATAATTTTCGCTCTTTTTTAAGCATTCTGATCCGCTCGTTTTGTTGGAAGATCATCAAGTTTGTCTGATTGATTGCCATGAATAGATCCACCATGGTCGGGTCGGTGTTAGGCGGCACAGGTATTAGTTGGAAGACGATCGGCATGTCGAAGCGTCGAACAACGTTGAAAGCCGCGTCGTTGGGGAAGGGAGAGGCGGTGCGCCCGTCCCTGGCGTCATCTTCATCAACGTGAACGGTCGCGTTGGGATCGTGGTCATCACCGTTGGTGAAAGTGGTGAAGATGGTTTCATGGACGTTGTCTTCAGTGCGCGGGCTAGTCATGATCAACGGAGATTGAAGTATGCTTTGGTTCTTGAATTTCTATTGAAGAAAGAACAGGGAAGCAAGAGTTTCCCATAGTCGGCGCCACTGATCTTACTATATCAGAAAATGATCAGTAGCCAGCAACACGTCGTGAGCTTCTAATTCGCCGGTGGTGTAGAAGAGGAGGGGGTGTAACTGCAAGGCATTTCGATGCTAAAGTCAGTTTCAGCAAGAGAGAGAAGGCAAGTAAAAAAAAGGTGAGAATAGAATACATGATCCTCCAGTGAAAGAGGGTATTTATAATGTGCCCTCAACGCTGTGCCAACGGTTACTTTGCATTGGGTTGAATCGCTAGGCCCAACACGAATAATTGACAGGGCCTACGTGGCGTAGGAAAGACCAACACTAGGTCTTCACCTTGGGTCAACTGCCCTGTGATCTTCGGAAGATGAGTAACCTGTTCTTTCGGATGTGGATAGTTGCCTGATGACGTGTTCCCGCGTGGGGGGCATGTGCAGTCCGTGGAGGAGACGCGTAAGGGCTCCCCGTGTAAGGTGACGAACTGGACCCTCCTTGATGAAAAGATGGATTGGACTGTACCCGACGTGGGGCAGCCTCTGGCCTAATCTAGAACACACACACACACACACACACACACACACACATATATATATATATATATATATATATATATATATATATATATATATATATATATATATATATATATATATATATATATATATATATATATATATATATATATTAAAAATGAGAAAAGAGGAATGAACCCAATAGAGTATAAATACGCAAAAATGGCACAAGTACCAAAAGTTACACCCAAGAATTCAAGAAAATACAAACTAACGACAAATAAATACAATTAGAAAAACAAAAAACACCACGAGTCAAACTCCCAAGAAACCCACCCTCTTTGATGTTGAAAATAAGTTGCAGCAACATGTAATTGATTACACACACGCGCGCGCACGCACGTACACACACACACACGTACACACACACACACACAAACATAAACACACACACACACACACACACACACACATACACACACACACACACACATATATGGCAACAGACAAAGTCGTATGAATTTGACTCAACGCTGGAACAAGAGTATTGTCGAAGAAGAGCGATAAATGAAGAAGAAAAACTCTTTTGCAGGTTGATAATAGTAGAAAATATAAAAATGACACTTTGGAATCCCTTTATATCATATTTGAACGTTAAGAATCATATGATCCGCTGAGCACCGCCAACTACTGGGATTTCCTAATAAATTGTTCAAAAAATACTCAAGTACTCAAAAGAAGAAGAAACATCGTTATTTAGTGGCGTAGTAAGACGTGTCATTCACTCCAATCGAAATGTTACCTCTTACAAGAAAGACATTTAATGTGCATATTCACAAGAACGAAAATGTCTCATTGAAAGCTTCCATGACCACAAATTTTGTGGCATGGTAAGAATACGTGTCACAAATCTTCACCCTACAAAGCAGAAACAATGGCTCGACGACAACTCTTTCGGGTCATCTGCGAGGACCAGAAGATAAATACCCAATAATGAAGCAATGAAGTACTGAATGCAAAATAGGTAGATTATTTCCTTCCACTAAGCCCCTCACACAAATACCATGCCAACCCCATTCAATTTGACAACCGCATCCCACGTCGTGCCACACACGTTCAATTGCCAACTATTTCTCCTATTTAAAAAGAAAATTATGTCACTTCTCAAGTATTTAAATCTGCTCTCATTCAAAACACCAATTTTCACTCTCATGCTTACTTGATCATTAATGTGTTAATCCTGCATGTTAGCTCCCTCTCCATTATATTTTAGGCTCAAAACACCAATTTTCACTTTTATACTAATTTGAGCATTAAAGTGTTAATCTTGCATATTAGCTCCTCTCTAGCACATCGTAAGCTCGAAACACCAATTTCACTCTCATGCTGACTTGAACATTAGAGTGTTAATTTTGCATGTTATCTTCCTCTCTACCACATCATAAGTTCAAAACCACCACATCTTCTACATCCTCACTTTTCAATTAACTCCAATTTACTTTGGAACAAAATAAATATTTATGAACATATTTATAATTTTAGTACATTATTCAAAGATCAAACTTGTTGTTTACCAAAAGAATGATCCTAATTTTAGTACAACTTTAATTTCAATCACTTTCTTTTAATAAAATTATTTAATTAATGATCCTAAATTATAAGATATATTGAGTGTTTCATAAGCTCAATTATTATTTTACAGAAAATACAAATTATGTATAAGTTTATAATAATGTTTCTCATAATTATAATAAGAAATAATTTTTTTTTTAAAAAAAAATAATAAATATTTGAAAGTATATTAAAGAAATAATTATTAATATTATATTAAAAAATATATATATTTAGACAATTTTTTTAAAGTGAAGTATATTATTAAAATATTATTTCCCAGTAGGGGTGCGTATGGATTATAAACCAAATCACATATATAGTTTGGTTTAGATCTTAAAACTGTTTATATAAAATCAGTTTATTTTTTAAAAACCGATTCACAAGTGAATTGGTTTAATTTCAAATCTATTTTAAAAAAAAACAGTTCTTTTAAAATTCAGTTTTAAACTGATTTCTCTTTAAACTAGTTTTTTATTTAAAAAAAAAAACAATTTTAAAACCAATTTTATAAAAAAAATTAATTTTAAAAAAATCAATTTTATTACAAACTATCATATTATTTATAAACTGAGTGAAACATTTTAATTTGTATTAAAAAATAAAAATGTTAAAATACTATCATTTGGCAGACTTCCCAGCACAGTGATCATGGAAATTCATCAATAATCAATAATCAAATTCATCAATAATCAATTTTTTTTTTTAATCAAACCATTGGCTCACACACTGTACTGCAAAGCATCTATGAATGAATGAATTCTGTGTTTCAATGCAACATGCAAATGAAACCCAATTTACCCTAAACCTCTTTCTACCCTAATTTAATCTATTCCAACACTAATCTCACATTACTTCTAAGTTCGAACAACACTGCGATCCCTTCTTCTCTTTAATGGCGCCAAGACGACGTTCTGTAAAGGTCGTTTCCACATTCATCTTCACACTTCGTTCACTCCACCATTTTTATTTTCTTCATTCTCGTGAATTGAATTGCGATTGTTTCACAGAGAGGAGAGACTCGAATGGATGCAGCTCTCGACGCCATGGCTCCTTTCGGTTTCCCCAACAAGCTCGTTCGTCGAACCGTTGATCAATTACTCGAAGTAAATTTTTTTTTCTTTTTTTCAGCTTAATCATGATTATTAGCTTCAAATTTCACTGCATTCTCATTGATTAGTGATTAATTTTGTTTCAGGTTTATGGCGGCAACGAGGGTTGGGTCTTCATTGAAGATGCAGCTTACACTCTTCTCATCAATACCCTTCTGGAACATCAACAAGAACAAGATCAGGTAACTTACAATTATCTCAATAATTAGTATAATCTGTGGGAGGAAATTTTAAGCATTAGCATTTATTTTGTAGACAAATGTTTGTTGTTAGTATGTTAGTAGTTGAGGTTTGAATTCTAGGCCTTCTTCTGACTATGTATGGGAAGTAATTTAAGTACAAGTTAGTGAAATTATGGAAAGTAAAAATTTCTTTCCAATAGAATGATTGATTAAGAACAAAAGTTAATATTGGTTTGATTTTATTTTAAAGCTCATGATTTGTGATACAGTTCATACAGTATGAGAAAGATATATGTGGTTTTATAAGGTGTGTGTGTGTGTGTGTGTGTGTGTGGGGGGGGGGGGGGGGGGGGGGGGGGGGGGGTGATGGAATCATAGAGAGTTGAGAATGGGGACTAGGATTTCACGTATAGAGGTGATTTTCTTCAAATAAGTGATGATCTAATGGTTATTTCATTTGGTGTTTTGCTTATCACATTCTCTTTTGCTTATGCTTCATTCAGATGTCTTGTAACTCAGAATTTATGAATATATCTGCAAGATTTGACCTATAAATTTACGCTAATTTGGAACCCTTTTTTATATGTGTCTAATGTTGTCAAATATCAATAGCGGAAGCCGCAAAGCGGTTAAAATAAATATTTATATAAAAAGTGAAACATACCACACACAAATAAAAACTACATAAATGGGTAATAGAAAAAAATTCGGACATTAAACTGAAATTTTCAAGTTCCAACAACTAAAAAAAGAAATTGATAATAAATTAAAACTCAAAAAGAAGAATTGAAGGAAGAGCAGCCAAAGAATGAACGAACAAGAAGAAAGCACCGACTGAGTAGCACACACGTTTTACTTTTTCAATATTCCAATTCTTAACATTTTAATTTCTTTAATGTTCTTGTTTCCACCTCTTCACATTCTACTTTTTCCACCTCTTCACGTGTTCACATTCTCCTCTTGAATGTTTTTTAGTACGATTTATTATAAAAGATAATAATATTAATAATATGGTTCCGATACTCAATTCATAACCAGTATACCGGAAAAGCGCCGATATCTTGAGCATCACGAAATTGAAATGCTATACCAGCTTTTGTATCTGATAGCCAAAATTCCGAAATGCAACACCGGTATACTGGCGCTATACTGGATATTTAACAATACTGATGTTGTCACACTTTGAATTGTATCTTCGGGTAAATTCTTCTGCATCCGCTTAGCTCTAGTTGTGAAACATGTCTTTTATGGCTAGGTAGTTAGGAATCACGTTGTATCACAAAATCCATATTTTGTTTGTGTTAAGTGATGCAATGAGCTGGTTTCTATGCCCTACTTTGTTTCAGGCTTTCAGATCTGGTTATGAAACACGTTTTTCCCAAATTCAATACATTTGTTTCAATTTATGTTAATGTCATGAGCAGCAATGTGCTGCTGTGTCTCCAAAAGCATATTACTCCTCAGAGTCTGATACATTCTGGCAAAGCCTATTTGCTTTAATGTATAGCTGTATATCATGAGTTCTTTCATGGTTTCTTCTTTTTAATCTCAATGTTAACTTTAAATTTTAATCATTCCTTTTGAAAGAAAAATGATTGGCTCCAACCTCCAAGAATGGTTGATCAACGGTTATAATTTTGAAAGATTCTTATACTACTTTAGAAATGCTTGAGAGGCTAAATGAGATATATTCCAGTACTCCAATGAATTTTTTTTAATATTTTGAAAGTGTACCTACTGAAAATTGCCTTCTAGCTCCTTACCCGAATGGCATGTATATCTTGTAGAGTTTTGATTACTCATGTCCTGTTTTGTGCTCTTGTATTGGTTTGTGTGAAGGATTGTTTGACAGAGGATAATCCAGAAAATGATCCCAATGAGGCATCAGCTGCTGGTTGCTCAAACAGAAACCTTCTCCTACCTTGCTCTAACCCGGAAGCTTCCGATGATGCACCAATAAATAATCAGGCCATTGACACTATATCAGCAGCCAGTGAAACTGGTAGTTATCTTCATATAAGTGTAGACGCCACAACAGGTACAAGCAAAGCTGTTATTGGACTTCCCATCACAGTTGACACTTCAGAAGCCCTCAGTCGACCTAGCAATCAACTTTCCATTATGGCTGTAGACACTGCAACACCTACAAGCAAAGCTGTTATCAAACTTCCCATCAAGCCCGTAGATGCTTCAGCAGCCACCAGTCAACCTAAATATCATCTTCCTATGGCTGTAGACACTGCAACACCTACAAGTAAAACTGTTAACAGAATTCCCATTAAACCCGTCAACACTTCAACACACCAACCTGGTAATCAACCTTCAATTAAAGCTGTAGACACTGTATCAGCAATCAATGAAATTAACAAACAAGTGTCCGGCAAGGCTATTGTAGACACTGTATCAGCAGACAATAAACATGGTAATCAACTTCTCGTCCTTGTTAATTCATTTCATTTAGTTTTGAAGCATAACTTGAGCATCTTGTATACTACTATCATTCCCCTTGCAGAACCTCCTCTGACAAAGTCCTCTCAGCCTTGTCACAAGAGGCGTAGACCTTGCCATGGTTGGATTTCTAGTGATGATGAAGAGGAGGATCTAATAGAACTACCTGCGATACATAAGTTGTGAATAATGGGGTCAGTTAGTGTAAACAGAGCAGGATATTACACTTGAGTAGTTTAAGAGCAGTATCAACTTAGCTCCAAGGTTTGGAAAGTGACATTGCTACATGCCCTTGCTTGTCTATAATACGGGCATACTATCGTATGGTTCAACAACAATACTTGTTTTGGCAAGTTAAAATTTACTATATAAATTTTTTGGTTAATTATACAACTTTTCTGGTTTAGTTTCTTTTTTTGTGTAAATATTATTGTTGGAGTTATATATGATGAGTATTGGATTTTTATGCGAGGAACAGTCTCGTGCTTCCATAATGATTGCAAGTATGTTGAGATTATATTTTCGCCTGAATGAAGGTGCAATCCAGTTTTTACATTCTTACAGACACAAATTACATTTTAATCAATTTGTGTCTTACAGATAAACAAAATCCTAAGAAATCTTTGAAGGAATATGCCAATTAAAATATGTGTAAAACCTTCATAAATTTTTTTATATATTTGTGGAATGATCTTCCTTTTAATCAAAATATTTTTAAAGAACATGTATTATATTTTAATCAATATTTTTTTGTTTTGAGTTTGTTTTAATAATTGATCTGCTTAAAATAGGCAAAATTTTTAGCACCCATATAGTTTTAGTTGAGTACCCGTTAAATTATTTAATATTTTTTTTAAATAAAATAATGTGATATTAAATATCTTTAGAGGAAGGCATCCATACTCAATTTAAGAGTATTATAGTGTTCACTTTAAAAATAATTTTGTATAAGAACAAAGCATCGCAAATGGCTTGAGAATATTTTATTTATGCTTAGAGATATAATATAATATTATATTATACTTATATGATAACTAAATTCCGAAATTTATTTATCTTGTGTCAAATTAAAATTAATATCATGAATTTGAGATGGATTAAAAACCGAATATGATATGAAAATAAATTACAAAATCAGAATATAATACAAAATAAAAATTAATAATAAATCCTATAGAGATTAAAAGATCTAAATATATTTAAAATTTTCAAAAATAATAATATTAATAGTTTTACTAAATTACAAATATTTAAAATATTATATTATATTATATCTTTAATATTAACATATATTGTTTTTTATATGAAATACCTAACAGACATAATGGATAACTTATTTACTCGTGAATTAAATTTTAAAATTAAAATTACTTATTTGATAGTGTCAACGACTTTTTATAAAACTTATCAAAATTTATTTTATTATTTTAATTATTTGGAAGAAGAAATGAATTGGGTCAGAATGGCCCAATAGCCTAAACCCTACCAGTTGAGGGCAACAAGAAGCATTCTCTTCTCTGCCCCTTTGCTGAGAAAGGCCGACCCAATAGCTTAAGCTCTACCAGTTGAGGGCAAAAGGAAGCATTCTCTCCTCTGCCCCTCTGCTGAGGAAGGTTGGCCAGCTGGCTCCAGGATCAGCTGCCCTTGGTCACATTTTTGTCCGTCATGCACGGTTCCACCATCCATAAACAGTTATGACGCCTGCGCCTGTGCCCGCGACCACACCTTTGTCCGCGACAACGACAAGTTCTAAGCACTTCTGCCCGTTTCAACTGCCAGTTTCTGACAGTTACCTATTCTTGGGGAGTGAATATCTCGTCCCAAAAATAGGGACCAATGGCCAAACGCTGGGGGCATTATAAAAATCCTCTCACTTGAAAGGGTTAGGTATTCTAAAATCATCCTAAGACATATTCACTTTGTACTTGCCTTCTCTTCTCCCGATTCTTGCTTTAGCATCAGAGTGCCTTGCAGGTACACCTCCTCCTCATCTTTGAAATCTAGCATCGCAAACGAAGTCTCTGATCCACTTCAAATTCTGACCAGCCGGTAAGATCAGTGGCGTCGTCTGTGGGAACTTCTGTTTTCCCCATCTTTCTTTCCCCTGAAACCAAAGATCAAAGCAGCTTCTTAAGATTTCGATCACGACCAACTGTGACAACGTCGATGATGCTCGCAACACCTTCATTCCCCCCGTCAGCAAGACTGACAACGACGGGGTGAATTCCCTTCTTGGAGACAACGCTCCTCAGCTGAGGGACGAAGTCACTGCATCTCCCTCTCCGGATCGCGACTACAACGGAGAGGTCCAGCACTCAACGGATCACCATCCTGTCTCAATTCCGCCCAATGCCGGGCCGTCCATGGCAGCTCTAGTTGAAGCCTCAACAAAACGAACCTTCTGATCCTCCAGCAGAGCGCAAGAATTTGAGCATTGGAAGAGGTACACCGTTCAAGATCTCCTCCACCAAGGTGCGAGCACTAGGGGTCCCGAAGCCATCCTCCTCAGTGCAGGAGGAATCACCAGATCCCAACAAAGCCAAAATCCCTGCCAGTAAAGAAACACGACCACACTCCTCCCCAGAACCAACACTCCTCAGGGGTCAAGAGAGAAAGAAGAGACCCACGGGAAGAAGGCCGACGTTCGCCTCTGCCCAGACCTAATGGCTGGTCACGAACTCCTTCTCTCCGTCAGGATCGCGGTCCTCGCCCAAGCAAAGCCACCCGCTCACGTTCGAGGTCGAGCAGTTACAGTGACGACGAAAAGCCTCGAGGCCCATTATCCCAGGAGATCATGGTCACTCGACTACCCAGGGGGATGGAAAAACCTCCATACCTGAGAACATACGACGACACAATAGATCCTGACGAGCACATCGAGAACATCGATGCCCTGCTCAACTACTGCAGCGTCTGAGGCGCCATCAAATTAAAATTATTCCCAACAACATTGAGGAATTGAGCAATGTCCTGGTATAAGAGCCTACCCTACGAACCCATCACCTCGTGGAGGTAGTTAGGGAGGATGTTCTCCAGACATTTCACGACCTCTCTCTGCCACACGAAGGCAGAAGCCTCCCTCGAGGCCATCATCCAGGGAAGGGACAAATCTCTTTGAGCTTACATCAAAAGATTCAACAAAGAAGTCGTTTAGGTCCCCACGACTGACGACATGAAAAAATATTTACTAGAACGCGGGCTTCTTCCCCGCAGCGAATTTGCCAAGGCCGTTGGCATAAAAAACCCCGCAACACTAGATGCCCTCCTTCTCAAGGCTCAGGCATAGTATAAAGAAAGGGAAGCATCCAACGCCGCCTGCGACTCTAGGCACCAGGAGAACGCCATGTCCTCGAAGCACGATGAAGCTTCAACATCTCGTCGGGGAGCATAGAAAAGAAGGGATTACCGCCCAAGGAGTCCCGAGAACACAAAGGGCCATCTGGACGTTTTCACGAATACACTCTGTTCCTACTGCAAAAAAGGGTCGGCAAAGACATAAGAGTCACCACCGTTCATTATTTATCCCAAAGAGAGGGAAAGGAAACAATCAGAGAAAACCTACGAAAAAGGAGAAAGACAGGTCATCGCAGCCAAATATTGGGTTCGGGAGTCGGCTACGCAAGGGGAAGGTATGAGCACCCCTCATGTCCATTGTACTCAACGAGATCCATGCTTATTGTCTATCTAAAACGGTGTTAATCTATCAAAAGGTTGGCTTACAGGGACAAAAGAAAAGAAAAGAGACTCGATAGAGCATCGCCGCTCTATGCCTACGTACTCCCTCGTGCAATGGGAAAGTCAGAGTCAACGTAGTTCGGAAAACTACGGGTGAAGGGGGGAAGGTTGCTCGCCAAGACATCGCCGTCTTGTGCCTACATATCCCCATCTAGTATGAGAAATCAGAGCAAACGTAGTTCGGGCCGACACGACTACTGGTTGGTTAAGTGTTTTAACTGAGTAGGGTTAAACCTTCGTTCTAGCAGTTAGGGACGATGTCTGTTTGTAGTAGAACCAAGACTTAACACACTCTTTTTGAAAATGATTTTCAAACAATCCCGAAGGATAAAAATATTTGATGTTTTGTTTTGTGTTTTTTAAGAGAAGAAGTGAATTGAGTTAAGTTTCTAACTCATGTTGCACTAAAGACTATGACTTGAGAGCGAATGCGTCGCATATCGCCCAAAGGGCATACGCTAAACACTCTAGACAGTGTCAGAGGAGGCCCCCCACCTATCATTCCTCAAGTACTTAAGGCTCGTAGCGTACAACATTTATTATCCTTTATTGAGTGTCTTAAGATGTTAGGTGATGAGAAGAGAAAACACAAACTCTAAGGGGAAACTAAATCAACCCTAATGTTATCATGCAAAATGATCCTCAAGTTGGGATTAAAAGGGGAAATATATCCTAATGTTATCATGCAAAGGATTGAACACCTAATGTCTCTCCTACCCCCATCTTAAACAGAGGGACTAGGAATCTTAAGGGGTCATGGCAAAAGACCAAGTAAACACATAGCAATTCAATCACATATGAGAAGAAATGAAAGATGAGATGCAAACATGAAATGAAAAGACAAAAGATGCAACAAGAAGGATGAGATGAAATGGGATAAGCAAGCTCCTACAACCATTACCATCAATCATCAAAGAAGAGTGGGAGGAAAAAAGTTGGGCAGCCATCACCACAAGCACATCTCAACCAAACAACTCTTGAAACTCAAGCAAAGCAAACGATTAATCATCACTTAAACAACATCACATGATATGCATTCAAGCGGGAATCACGCATTACATGTCGCATAAATGAGATCAAACAACCAAGAACAGTGGAACATGTCCAAAACAACCCACATAAATGCATCATATCAATCCATGAAGATTCAAGGTGAGAAGAAATCAAAACAAGCTTGAAAACAATCAAAAATTGCATTCTGGTTCAGTGTTAATCGATTAACCCTATTGGTTAAACGGTTAACCACTTGAAATTTTTTTGAAATTGCACTGGTTAACCCGTTAACGCTTTTGGTTAACCCATTAACCACCTGATAATTTGTGAAATTGCACTGGTTAACCAGTTAACACTTTTGGTTAACCCGTTAACCACCTGAAAATTTGAGAAATTGCACTGGTTAACCCGTTAACGTTGTAATCAATTATGCAATAATCCAATTATGCACAAATTTA